GAGAAAAAATGCCAGCTACCTAAGTACATAAATCACCAGCTGGGCTATATCAGCTTGGGGAATTAGATTACAAGTAACATTTTCACTGAGAAAAAGAAATGATGATCGCTCTAGGCCCATGTGGTAATGCTGGTGCAGTAGTAAGGAGGGAAAGGGAGGGTGTTGCACCCGGGAGAAGAGTTGATATCCTTTGGGGTGAAATTTGACTCCAAACTAACCCTGAAGAACCGTTGAAAACTTGCAAAAAAGGCAGCCGGAAAACTTACAGCACTTCGCCCTATCCGCACTGCTTGACAGTAGGGGTTGCAAATCCTGTCGAGGCACAAAATTTCCTACACCTTTTGGGATGCTCCCCTTTTTTGGGGTTTTCCCGCCCCCCCCCTTTTATTGCGTGCTGACAGGTAGGAAAAGGCAAGGCGTCTCATCTCTGTGGGCCAACCTGGATAGATTGTCATTTTAGCAGAGCCTTAACATGGGGGATGTGGGTTTTGCCCTTTCTGTTATGTACAAGGCCAAATTGTCAAAAACCCCACTTGGATCCACTTTGAGGACGCGTGAAACAAGTTTATGCCCAAACGGGCAGAAAAACAGCAAAATTCACTCTGGCTTACCCCTTTTCCAAAACACTCCATCTGAGTATACATACCCCGGGTGTCGAGTAAGGAATCATTGTACAGATAAAAGATGTCACGGAAAAGTCAGTTATCAAATGAAATGCTGGCCCACAGTGGGTTCAGCTTCATCCGTTCCCTAATTTTTGCTCATAAAATAAAAAAAGCTTTCAAATATTTATGTAGGAAAGCTCTTGTTGCCCAAAAAAGTTGGAATCCCTTAACCTGTAAATAGTTGTCAAAAAGCTAGGGACCTTAACCTTGTCAAACCCTGTGTAAAAGAGAGAGGGGGAAAGAGAAGAGAGGAAAGAAAGAAGAGGAAGGAAATTCATGGCATAAAGGAAAAACCTTTTTAAAAATGGATACCCCGCAAAATTTGGGAAGCTGCCACAACAATGAGCTCCCGTGAAAACCCAAAAAATCCCGATAGAATTGCCTTCCCTAGACGCAGGCTACGCCACACTAAGAATAATGCAACACCTGCACCCATGGTTAATACCACTCAAAAACGGAGAAGAAGGAGGGCAAAAGCCCTTTGTGAAGTCGCAAAAAAAACCAAAGAGGACAATGGAAATGGTGTTCATTCTCGTTCTTCCCCCGGGGGCTCAACATCCCTTTTGTATGGCCCGAAATGATTATACAAATTTCCCAAAGAGTAAGAACTCCAAAAGGCCCATTTTTTTGCCCGGAGTCTACCTAGGCATTGGGATCCGCCCCCGCGGTCCGGGCCCTGACCAGGCCTCCCCGGGGGATCAGGGGCCCGATCAAAACCCGGGTGTTTCTTTTAGCCGCAGTAGTCCAACTCGAACCACAGCCCCGGTGATCCGCACCGTCTTTAGGGATCTGTCCAGTCCCCCTTGAAGACACCAGGGCTACCGGTAATCTCCTTTTGTGGTGGAGGCGTTGAAAGTCTTGGGCCCCAGACCTTATGGATTTTTTTTTATGTCCAGTGACGCCCCAATTTCATGGGGGTATGTTGCATCGCCCCGCCCGTCTTTTTCTTTCGTTGGGGTGATTGCTGTGTGCAATTAGGGACCAGTCCCTCCAGAATTTCCAGGTGTAGTTTGATATATTTCTTCGCCTGCGCTCCAGTGAGTACAAGTAAATGCTTCCAGGGTTCCCCGTAGTTTAAGGGGGTTTTTATGGAACTTATACCGTGCTTTCTTCCTAGTCTGTAATTTCACCTGCCTTGAATGGGGATGTTAATGTACAGCAGTATTCCAGCCTAGAGAGAATAAGTGATTTAAAAAGGATTATCATTGGCTTGGCATCTCTTGTCTTGAATGTTCTCATTATCCATCCTATCAGTTTACTCGCAGATGTGATAGTGGCATTATTGTGTCCTTGAAGGTGAGTCTTCGGACATTACCAAAACCCAGGTCCTTCACATTACTTTTCCGCTCTATTGTGTGATTAGAGTTTGTAGTATACTCAGTCCTAGTTATTATTTCCTCCAGTTTTCATAACGGAGTAGTTGGAATTTGTCTTCATTGAACATCATATTGTTCTCTGTTGCCATTGGAAACTTAGTTTATATCTTCTTGGAGCTTTGTTGTGTCCTCAATGGATGACACTCTCATGCAGATCCTAGTATCGTCTGCAAAAGATGATACAGTGCTGTGGTTTACATCTCTGTCTATGTCTGATATGAGAGTAAGGAACAGGATAGGTGCGAGTACTGTGCCTTGTGGGACAGAGCTCTTCACTATGGCAGCATCTGATTTAACTCTGTTTACCACTACTCTTTGTGTGCGATTGGTTAGAAAGTTGAAGATCCATCTGCCTACTTTGCCGGTTATCCCTTTAGCACGCAATTTGTGTGCTATTACACCATGGTCGCACTTGTCAAAGGCTTTTGCAAAGTCTGTGTATACTACATCTGCATTCTGTTTGTTTTCCAGTGCATCTAGGACCATAAGGCTTTCGATAGAGTTCCACATCAGAGGCTATTGAGGAAACTTAAAGCACACGGAATAGGAGGAGAAAGTTTTTCCTGGGTAGAAGCATGGCTGACAAATAGGCAGCAGAGAGTTTGCATAAATGGGGAGAAATCAGAATGAGGGCACGTCACAACCGGTGTTCTTCAGGGGTCAGTGTTGGGCCCATTGTTGTTCACAATTTACATAAACGACATAGATGAGGGAATAAATAGCGACATAAGCAAATTTGCTGATGACACCAAAATAGGCCGTCCAATCCATTCTAATAAGGACACTAGAGCACTCCAGGATGATTTGAATAGACTGATGCAGTGGTCGGAGAAGTGGCAGATGCAGTTTAATATAGACAAATGCAAAGTTCTAAATGTTGGACAGAAAACTTACCATGTGATATATAAACTAAATAATGTAGATCTTAATACTACTGATTGCGAAAAGGATTTAGGAGTTCTGGTTAGCAGTAATCTAAAACCAAGACAACAGTGCATTAGTGTTCGCAATAAAGCTAACAGAATTCTTGGCTTCATATCTAGAAGTATAAATAATAGAAGTCCTCAGGTTGTTCTTCAACTCTATATATCCTTGGTTAGGCCTCATTTAGACTATGCTGCACAGTTCTGGTCACCGTATTACAGAATGGATATAAATGCTCTGGAAAACGTACAGAGGAGGATGACAAAGATGATCCCATGTATCAGAAATCTTCCCTATGAGGATAGACTAAGGGCCCTGAATCTGCACTCTCTCGAAAGGCGTAGAATTAGGGGGGATATGATCGAGGTGTATAAATGGAAAACAGGAATAAATAAAGCGGGTGTAAATAACGTGCTGAAAATTTCCTGCCAAGAGAGGACTCGCAGCAATGGTTTCAAGTTGGAAAAATTCAGATTCAGGAAGGATATAGGAAAGCACTGGATGTGCTTTCCTATATCCTTCTGGTTGTGGATGAGTGGAAAAAACTCCCGAGTACAGTTATTGAAGCTAAAACGTTGTGTAGTTTTAAAAATAGGTTGTGGGTGGGTGTGAGTTGGACCTGACTAGCTTGTGCTGCTGGGTCTGGTGCCGTGCTCCTTCCTTGAGTGGAGGTAACCAGACTGGGTGGGTCATTGGGCTAATCCGGGGGGGGGACATGGACCTGCTCCGCATGGGTCAGTAGGCCTGGTGCAGTGTTCCTTCTTTCTTATGTTTTTATGTTCTTATATCGTAGTGGTCTAGCAGTTGCGAAAGGCAGGAGCGACCTGCTCTGAAACCACGTTGCCCTGGGTTGTGCAATTTTTGGGAGTCCAGGCGGTTTGCAATCCTGCTTCTTAGAACTCTTTCAAAGATTTTTATGATGTGGGACGTTAAAGCCATTGATCTATAGTTCTTAGCTACTGCTTTGCTGCCACCTTTATGGAGTGGGGCTATATCTGTTGTTTTTAGTGACTGTGGAATCTCGCCTGTGTCTAAGCTCCTCCTCCATAGCATACTTAGGGCCCGTGAGAGGGGTTTCTTGCAGTTCTTCTGTTAATGCCTGTTGTATCCTGATGTTGTATTCTGATGTTGTATTCTGATGTTTCCTGACATGAAAGAAACAACGAGTGATGGTATGTGACGAGGTGTGGGCGCCTGTGATGGGTGGGGTTCCACAAGGGTCAGTACTAAGACCAGTGCTGTTTCTGTATAATTTTGAATGACATGACGGTAGGGATAGATTCAGAGGTGTCCCTGTTTACAGACGATGTGAAGTTAATGAAAAGAATACAAGTGGACGAGGATCTGGATAGGTTGCAAGCTTGCAACCTATCCAGATCCTTCCTCCTGGATTTCAACCCTATTAAATGCAAAGTCAAGAGGATTTGGAAGGACAAAGAAGACCGCCGACGGAGTACAGGCTTGGGGGTTCAAAGACTGCAGAAATCACTGAAGGAAGAGGATCTTGGGGTGAGAATCATACCGAGCATATTCCCTGAGGCGCACATCAACCAAATAACTAGTGCAGCATATGGGAGTCTGGCAAACCTAAGAATAGCGTTTCGACATCCAAGGAGTCATTCACGACACTGTACAGTGTGCGTCAGGCACATAGTTGAGTATTTAGCATCATTATGAAATCCACACCTTGTCAGTGACGTAAGAAAATTAGAGAAAGTGCAAAAATTTGCAACAGGACAAGTTCCGGAGGTAAAGGACATGTCCTATGAGAAAAAGTTAAGAGAATTCAACCTGACGACACTGGAGGACAGGAGGGACAAGGGACGACACTGGAGGACAGAAGGGACAAGGGACAACACTGGAGGATAGGAGGGACAAGGGACAACACTGGAGGCCAGGAGGGACAAGGGACGACACTGGAGAACAGGAGGGACAAGGGACGACACTGGAGGACAGGAGGGATACGGGGGACATGATAACGACTAAATAACACCTACCCACACACAAGGACCCAAGGTTCAAGTGTTGATCTTACCCGTAAGAGAAGTACTGCACCAGTAAGAGGATCAACAGCGAAGCTGCTACTGCTGTTAGGGAAGACACCATCACCAGAGAGCGAGTACCTCACACGACTGTGTTCCTCTCCATCACCGTCACGGGCTCTCACCTGTGTGTAAACAAACCACACCAGCTCACACCTCAGCTGAACAAGTGTCAACATAACAAATATGGCTATACATTGTTGTATTAATAGTCACTTACTGTATGTTAACAAAACACGTTGTTATAAGTCAACTGAGTGTATAAACACAATAATTAATGTGTACTTCTCAGTATACTGGAAATCAGCTGTTGTATGCGTAAATAAATTTACGGACGTTTATTGGAAATATTAAATATTTTTTTTCTTTTTGGGTCGCCCTGCCTCGGTGGGAGACGGCCCACTTGTTGAAAAATAAAATAAATAAATTAATATATTGTTATTTGTGAAGGGGGTAAAGTTAATTAGCTAAGAGTGGAAGCATGAATGAGTGGTAGCGGTAATTTAACTGGTTAAATGTTTGTTAGGTATCGTACTTGTACCATCCCTCTTCTCCACCCGGTGGGAGTTAACATGGGGGGGGGGAGGGTTGGCGTTACTTGACTTTCTGCTTCCATCACGTTTGTAATTATTGAGTTCCAGTCTTGTTTAATTGTTATATTATGTGTGTTGTGTTTTTGTTAATATAACCGTACCTGATTTGACTTAAGTTTTGTTAAAGTAATCTTAGTCATCACCATTTCTTTTAAATGTCTTCTGTCTACCATGTGAGTGCTTGTCCTGCTTTGTATCTCTTTGTTATTGTCTCTCTTTAAGCTTTGTTGATGAGCCTGGGTCACCTGACACTGCCGAGACAAGGCGGGCAGCTGGAGCTAGGCCACAGGTCAGAAACTTTACCTCATCTTCAACAGAACTCAACAGGTCACTTCGCCTTTAGTAACTGATCATCTGTTGTCTTCATCACCCTACAGAAAGTCTACATTAATTGCGCCTCCAGCATTTTACATCTGTGAAACAGCTATTGGCGCCATTAGTGTCTGGGGCTGAACTTTGTACAAGTCACGTCCACCAGTGACTACCTTGTCTCACACAGGCTTCTTGTCTCACACAGGCTTCTTGTCTCACAGGCTTCTTGTCTCACACAGGCTTCTTGTTTCACACAGGCTTCTTGTCTCACACAGGCTTCTTGTCTCACAAAGGCTTCTTGTCTCACACAGGCTTCTTGTCTCACACAGGCTTCTTGTCTCACACAGACTTCTTGTCTCACACAGGCTTCTTGTCTCACACAGGCTTCTTGTCTCACACAGGCTTCTTGTCTCACACAGGCTTCTTGTCTCACACAGGCTTCTTGTCTCACACAGGCTTCTTGTCTCACACAGGCTTCTTGTTTCACACAGGCTTCTTGTCTCACAAAGGCTTCTTGTCTCACACAGGCTTCTTGTCTCACACAGGCTTCTTGTCTCACACAGACTTCTTGTCTCACACAGGCTTCTTGTCTCACACAGGCTTCTTGTCTCACACAGGCTTCTTGTCTCACACAGGCTTCTTGTCTCACACAGGCTTCTTGTCTCACACAGGCTTCTTGTCTCACACAGGCTTCTTGTCTCACACAGACTTCTTGTCTCACACAGGCTTCTTGTCTCACACAGGCTTCTTGTCTCACACAGGCTTCTTGTCTCACACAGGCTTCTTGTCTCACACAGGCTTCTTGTCTCACACAGGCTTCTTGTCTCACACAGGCTTCTTGTCTCACACAGGCTTCTTGTTTCACACAGGCTTCTTGTCTCACACAGGCTTCTTGTCTCACAAAGGCTTCTTGTCTCACAAAGGCTTCTTGTCTCACACAGGCTTCTTGTCTCACACAGGCTTCTTGTCTCACACAGACTTCTTGTCTCACACAGGCTTCTTGTCTCACATAGGCTTCTTGTCTCACACAGGCTTCTTGTCTCACACAGGCTTCTTGTCTCACACAGGCTTGTTGTCTCACACAGGCTTCTTGTCTCACACAGGCTTGTTGTCTCACACAGGCTTGTTGTCTCACACAGGCTTGTTGTCTCACACAGGCTTCTTGTCTCACACAGGCTTGTTGTCTCACACAGGCTTCTTGTCTCACACAGGCTTCTTGTCTCACACAGGCTTCTTGTCTCACACAGGCTTCTTGTCTCACACAGGCTTCTTGTCTCACACAGGCTTCTTGTCTCACACAGGCTTCTTGTCTCACACAGGCTTCTTGTCTCACACAGGCTGAGTCTTGAGTGCTACTTGACACATCCGTCGACACATCAAAATTCCATCCTAACCTAACTAAGTATTTATAGTGTAATGTGGTGCAGATATCAGACTTAAGGTGAAAGTATCGACACGATATTAATCTGAATATTTTTGCGAACCAAGGAATTTATAATAAGCATTAGACGATGGTGTTGGTAGTGCTTGAATTAAATGGTTGTGGATAGATCAGTTTAGTTGGTGGTAATACCTGTTGAGATAGTGTTAGAAATATATGTTTAGGTAAACCTCCCTTAAGGTTTACTATACTAATAGCAGGAGTGTTAGAAATAAGATAGATGAGCTAAGATTAATTGCAAGTGCAGGAAACATAGATATTATTGCTATAACAGAGACCTGGCTCAATCTGAAAGATAGAGAGATGCCATCTGAATGTCACATACAAGGCTATAAATTATTCCACACTGACAGGGTCAACAGGAAAGGTGGTGGAGTAGCGATGTATGTCAGAGACAATTTAAATTGTTGTGTTAGACAAGATATTAAATTAGAAGCGTCAGCCACTGAATCTGTTTGGTTACAGCTTCTCGAGGGCCGAGAAAAACTAATTTTGGGTGTGATTTACAGGGCCCCAAATCTTGATAGGGAGTGCAGTAAACTTCTATGGGACGAAATTCGTAAGGCATCTACATACGAAAATGTTGTGCTAATGGGAGATTTCAACTATAGACAGATTGACTGGAGCAATTTGACAGGAAATTTAGAGTCGGGTGACTTTCTTGATACGATCCAGGATTGTTTTTTAAAACAGTTTGTGACAGAGCCAACTAGGGGAAATAACCTCCTTGACTTGGTTCTTGCCAGTAGGGAAACACTAATTAATAATCTTGAGGTTAATGATGAGCTTGGGGAGAGTGATCACAAATCACTCAGTTTTAACATATCATGGAATTCCCCTAATAATGGCAATCAAGTCTCCGTCCCTGACTTTCGCTTGGCTGATTTCATAGGACTGAAAAATTACTTAGGTGGGCTGAACTGGAATGACCTGACTAGGGGTCAGGTAGGTGGTGATGGTTGCCGATATGATGCTTTCCAGGGCATAGTTCTAGCTGCTCAGTCAAATTATGTTCCAAATAGGGAAATCAGATCAAACAAAAATGATCCTAAATGGATGAACAATAGATTAAAATATCTGATTGGTCAAAAGAGAGGCATATATAGGCAAATCAAAGAGGAGAGGGGCAATTAAGAAATCGATATATTCAGTTAAAGAGAGAAATAAAAAAGGGAATTAGAAAAGCAAAAAGAGATTATGAGGTTAAAGTTGCAAGAGAATCGAAGACTAACCCAAAAGGATTCTTTCAGGTATACAGAAGTAAGATCAGGGACAAGATAGGCCCACTCAAAAGTTCCTCGGGTCAGCTCACTGACAGTGATAAGGAAATGTGTAGAATTTTTAACACATACTTCCTCTCAGTTTTTACACAGGTGGATACCAGTGATATTCCAGTAATGATAAATTATGTAGAACAGGACGATAATAAACTGTGCACTATTAGGGTCACAAGTGACATGGTCCTTAGGCAAATAGATAAATTAAAACCTAACAAATCCCCAGGCCCTGATGAACTGTATGCAAGGGTTCTAAAGGAATGTAAAGAGGAGCTTAGCACACCTTTGGCTAATCTTTTCAACATATCACTACAAACTGGCATGGTGCCAGATAAGTGGAAAATGGCAAATGTGATACCTATTTTCAAAACAGGTGACAGGTCCTTAGCTTCGAACTATAGACCAATAAGCCTAACCTCCATAGTGGGAAAATTTATGGAATCAATAATTGCCGAGGCAGTTCGTAGCCACCTTGAAAAGCATAAATTAATCAACGAATCTCAGCATGGTTTTACAAAGGGACGTTCCTGCCTTACGAATTTATTAACTTTTTTCACTAAGGTATTTGAGGAGGTAGATCATGGTAACGAATATGATATTGTGTATATGGACTTCAGTAAGGCTTTTGACAGGGTCCCACATCAGAGACTATTGAGGAAAATTAAAGCACATGGAATAGGAGGAGAAATTTTTTCCTGGATAGAGGCATGGTTGACAAATAGGCAGCAGAGAGTTTGCATAAATGGGGAGAAATCAGAGTGGGGAAGCGTCACGAGCGGTGTTCCACAGGGGTCAGTGTTGGGCCCCCTGCTGTTCACAATCTACATAAACGACATAGATGAGGGCATAAAGAGCGACATCGGCAAGTTTGCCGATGACACCAAAATAGGCCGTCGAATTCATTCTGACGAGGACATTCGAGCACTCCAGGAAGATTTGAATAGACTGATGCAGTGGTCGGAGAAGTGGCAGATGCAGTTTAATATAGACAAATGCAAAGTTCTAAATGTTGGACAGGACAATAACCATGCCACATATAAACTAAATAATGTAGATCTTAATATTACGGATTGCGAAAAAGATTTAGGAGTTCTGGTTAGCAGTAATCTGAAACCAAGACAACAGTGCATAAGTGTTCGCAATAAAGCTAATAGAATCCTTGGCTTCATATCAAGAAGCATAAATAATAGGAGTCCTCAGGTTGTTCTTCAACTCTATACATCCTTGGTTAGGCCTCATTTAGATTATGCTGCACAGTTTTGGTCACCGTATTACAGAATGGATATAAATTCTCTGGAAAATGTACAAAGGAGGATGACAAAGATGATCCCATGTATCAGAAACCTTCCCTATGAGGATAGACTAAGGGCCCTGAAACTGCACTCTCTAGAAAGACGTAGAATTAGGGGGGATATGATTGAGGTTTATAAGTGGAAGACAGGAATAAATAAAGGGGATGTAAATAGTGTGCTGATAATATCTAGCCTAGACAGGACTCGCAGCAATGGTTTTAAGTTGGAAAAATTCAGATTCAGGAGGGATATAGGAAAGTACTGGTTTGGTAATAGAGTTGTGGATGAGTGGAACAAACTCCCAAGTACCGTTATAGAGGCCAGAACGTTGTGTAGCTTTAAAAATAGGTTGGATAAATACATGAGTAGATGTGGGTGGGTGTGAGTTAGACCTGATAGCTTGTGCTAACGGGTCGGTTGCCGTGTTCCTCCCTTGAGTCAATGTGACCTGACCTGACTAGGTTGGGTGCATTGGCTTAAGCCGGTAGGGACTTGGACCTGCCTCGCATGGGCCAGTAGGCCTTCTGCAGTGTTCCTTCGTTCTTATGTTCTTATGTTCTTATGTAAACCATACCACGGGTGGGGTTTTATCCCGCGGTCAGAGAGTCTCATAACTCCAGACCGTCGCGTTAGCCACTGGACCAGCTAGCCACAAGAAGATTCGTCCAACTAGGTATGTTTCTACACCATAGGAAGGTGTATGGTGTAGAAATATACCTAGTTGGACGAATCTTCTTGTGGCTAGCTGGTCTAGTGGCTAACGAGACGGTCTGGAGTTTTGAGACTCTCTGTCCGCGGGATCAAACCCCACCCGTGGTATAGTTTGTTTGCAATCGTGTCATTACGATTTCGTGAGTCATACATATTTAGGTGATGTTATTACTGATTAAGCTGTGATGCTAATGGTAATATTTATTTAGATGATATTGGTGATGTCTTTAAATGGTGAAGACAATACTAGTTTAGATGGTAGTAGTGATATTTTTAAGGTGGTATAACACCTGTTTATGGGAATATTATTGTTAATCAAGTTTGTTAGAAAAAAATGTGGTAAGTGGGCCTTAATAATCAATGGTGTTGCTGTCACCTAAATAAAAAAAAAATCACTGCTGAAGTTATTTACAGAGAAACATCAATGACAATGCACAGGACATGTCTCATAGACGAACTGTGTTAGTGACTTACTTTAGGACAGGAGAAGTGAGCATGCATAGTTCTGGGCAAGAGGAATATAACACATGGCTGGCCCTCACCGTCAGGATGGTCTTGGGTAGGTGACGGTCGTCCTCCTCTGTGATTTGAGTCTCGTGCAACGACCTGGGGAAGGTCGGGGCGTGGTCGTTCTCGTCCAACACTCGTACCAAGACTCTGGCTTCACTCTTAGCCTCCCCAGCCCGGGCCTCTACCACAAGTTCGTACTTGGTACGGAGAGAGCAGCAGCAGTAGAAGGAAAAAAAACAAGGTGAAAGAAAGTTATGTAATGACGTGCACGGATGTTAAGGCATTGTTGAATTTAAATACTGACGTGTGCTGATACATGACCAGGAAACACTGCAACACGACTCGTTTATTTGACAGAACATATAAGTATTGGCTGAGATTCATCCTTGAAGGCATATACCAACTCTGCCCCTTACGATGAGACTGAGAGCAAGGAGAGAGGGAGATTATTATAATTATAATCAAGGGGAACCGCTAAACCCGTAGGATTATACAGCGCATGTGGGAGGGGGGATGGAAGGTATTCAGGCTTAGTTCAGGGAACTGGAGCACAGATCCAATTCCTTAGATCAAGAGCCCCTCACCAGCGTCAAGGAACCTCCTTTGAGAGGTGGAGAGGGGAGAGATTTAGATTTTGCCGGTAGTGCAAGAGCAAATGGATACACAATAGGCCTAGGAACTGCGCCCCAAAGGTGTTTACAGAGGCACATCTGAGTTTTCTCATTTATTGCAAGCACATTTTGGTAATTTACTTAATATATCTGGCATCTTATTTCTATTAATAAGATATCTTCACATATCACATAAGTTCAGAGGCAGATTCAGGAATAGTCCATCGGAGGCCATCCTTGTCTGTTCTGAAAATCTGGAGTGATAGCCCGCTGGAAGAACCATTTAAATATCAATGATTAATGATTATTAGGAACCAAAGCAGATCAAAGGATTTTATATTCATTTTAAAATTAAACAGGAACCCACACTAACAACCCGCTGTCACTAACAACCCGCTGTTATGCTAGTTTCTGCGGTAATGTGAGATAATAATATATCTTTTTTCTAGAGTTATAAATAAACAATTATTTTTTTGTCTGATTTTTAGGGAGTTATTTCATGATAATTCTCTGACCATAACAAAACTTTCTCGAATAATGTTTCGGGTCTCCTCAGAAGTAAAGAATGTTTGGTTTGGACGAACTCCGAGTTACAGACTGGAAGAAAGCTCTCTGAGCAAGTATTGCCAGATGACGTCAAGGAACCATGGGACCAAGTGGTCATGTCAGCGCCACTTGAGTATCCAGATGACGTCAAGGAACCATGGGACCAAGTGGTCATATCAGCGCCACTTGAGTATCCAGATGACGTCAAGGAACCATGGGACCAAGTGGTCATGTCAGCGCCACTTGAGTATCCAGATGACGTCAAGGAACCATGGGACCAAGTGGTCATGTCAGCGCCACTTGAGTATCCAGATGACGTCAAGGAACCATGGGACCAAGTGGTCATGTCAGCGCCACTTGAGTATCCAGATGACGTCAAGGAACCATGGGACCAAGTGGTCATGTCAGCGCCACTTGAGTATCCAGATGACGTCAAGGAACCATGGGACCAAGTGGTCATGTCAGCGCCACCTGAGTATCAGGTTCTGAATATCATACAGCTCCCTATGGTAAGACATTTCAGTATTGAGGAGGAAACCTGAATAATCAGTGGTTACTAATCACTAACTTTTCTACCAGGTTACCAGAGTCCATACCTCTTCTTACAATTTGTGTGTGCGGTTTTGAGATTTCTGGTGATTTTTTTTTTCTAGTCAGTTAGTTTTTACTAAAATTCAACCAAACACGAATCAAATTTTGTAAAATATTTTCATGTAATTTTGGGGAGACTTGAATATTAAGAGTAAATTTATGACTATCACTCCAAGAGTCTGGGAAAAGTCGAGATGTTTCACCAGTGTCTGAGGACAATGTTGAATGTTCGTTGTTCCCGGCACCAGATGGATTTTTGCCGTGTAGGGAAACACTGGTATAATTAAGGTATTGGTTGAGTGAGGATGATGATACTTTTTCCTTGGAGCATTTTCTCATTTTCAGAAACTGGCTCATGAAAGGTGGATGACCAGTGAACCAACTTGCCAGTCTGACCTGAGTATGTGAGCTGAGTGCTTCAGCAGTCGAGCTACGGGACTTCGTCTTGTTGGTATTGTGTACCATTCATGTACATTGAAGCGTTATCAGTGGAATCAGAGGCATCACCAAAGGGACAGAGAGACACGGTTCACCAACAGGTACCAGACACTATACACACAACAAAGGAAAAGACAGTAAGACTCAACCCAATTAAAACATAAATTAACTGATAAAGAGAATAACCACTGAATAAACTATTTGTTGTACCAAACATGTCAGCTGCAAGATATCAAGAAGATAACGAATGTAGTCTCAATATTTTACAAATGAGATAAGAAGGATGAAATGCATATTTTTAAGATAACGGGTAATCTAGTCAGAAGAGTAAAGGGCTTCTGACGAGAAGTTGTTTCATAAACGATAGCCAGTATGGGTTTAGAGATGTCAGATCTTGCCTCTCAAAACTACTGGAGTCCTGTGACAAAGAAAGGGAAAGCAGGATAGAGAGAAAAGAATGGTTGTACTGCATGTTCATGGAGAACAAAAAAAGTGCATTTGATAATGTGCTTCAGAAGTGACTCAAATTCTCGAGGAGCTGGAGTGTACTACAGTGTGCTACAGTGTGCTACAGTGTGCTACAGTGTACTACAGTGTGCTACAGTGTGCTACAGTGTGCTACAGTGTACTACAGTGTGCTACAGTGTGCTACAGTGTGCTACAGTGTACTACAGTGTGCTACAGTGTGCTACAGTGTGCTACAGTGTGCTACAGTGTACTACAGTGTGCTACAGTGTGCTACAGTGTGCTACAGTGTGCTACAGTGTGCTACAGTGTACTACAGTGTGCTACAGTGTGCTACAGTGTGCTACAGTGTGCTACAGTGTGCTACAGTGTGCTACAGTGGGTCGAAGAAATCTTTGTGTGAAAGAAACAAAGAGTGACCAAAAAGAGATGAGTTCTGTAAGCATCTGTATCAAGACAATTATTATTTTCGGTAAATGTGAATGACATACCAAGACAGATAGAATCAAATGTTTCACTGTTAACTATGCAAAATTAACGAGGAGTTTAAAAACAGATGAGGATAAGAAAGGGTACACAGTGTTTTTTGAGAGGCTGCGGGACTGGTCACACAAGAGTGTACTGGAGTTCAATCTTGAATTTGCAAAGCTAAGAAAACTGAGGAAGATAAGAAGTCTATAAACTGAGTATAGACTCGGTGGACAGAGCCTACCAACCTCACTCAAGGAACAATACCTAGGAGTAACCATAATGCCGAGAATATCCCCAAAGGACCAAATCAGCCTAATATTCTCTTCAGCAAATTTTCATTTGGCAAATTCTAGCTTGTGGCCAAGAATATATTTCTCAATGTTTAATTGGTAATCCGCCAGTCTTGGAAATATGTGGCGTAGGACCCGGTTTAGCGAAAGACCCAACTTCTTTAGTGGCACTTAAATTGGCGAAATACTCTGGAACAGACTAGGAAACAGCGTACTTTCGTCAAGGAGAAATACAATAGAAGGAGAGGAGACAGTATCGTCGTTCCTGTGAGGAGCATTTTATTGTGCAGAAATCTGTCGTTACTGCTCCCTGTAAACGAATTCTGAGAAATTCTTTGAATCGTTCAAGAATCAGGCTCGAACTTTTGTAGTGGCTAGACTAGCACTGAGCAGCACTGATTCATGCAGCTCGGCTTGGGAAGGAGCGATAATACACATCTATCTTGTGCGATGATGACTTCGTCAGCTACATCGTTGCGGAGATTACTCTCCTCTGGTGCTTATCAGTGCTATCCTATAAAATATAAACGTGAGTTTAGGTTAAAAAAAAAAGTCAACCTAGACAGTCTTGGGTAAATTTTACTTGACAACAGTTAAAAAGTTCCAGGTGGAACAAAGTGTGGCCAACTTCAGCGACTTCCCGATATTATTCTGCTGATAAAGTACACCAGGGGAAAAAGGTTCTGCCGATGGCGTGCACAGACAACATGAGTGAACAACACTTTTAGAAAGCATGAATAACGACACTTATAAACAGCAGTCACAAGCAAGTATTGACAGAGACAAGACCTCAGAGTTTGTAATGTTCAAATTTTGCCGTAAGATTGACCATCTCATCACCGACAGTTTCAACTCCAGAGACAGTCGTCGGGGACAGGTAAGTCTGAGAACACGGAAGAGTCTATTAATTAGAAGTTCCCAGGTAATGTTCTGGACTTGGACACTTAATCCCGTCTCCAGGGATGAAGTAGATGGATGTATGTACATAAGACTGCTTCACAGCAAGGACAGAGTACCATTAAGAGAATCCTACCTACCTGTTACAATCATAAACTTTAGGTACACCAGGGACTTCTGTTCTCTGTTAACGTAAGGGAGAAGATACTTAAATTAAAATGCTCTGTTAGGAGCATACAGTGGGGCTCTAATCTTTGTTCCGTTATATAAACTCTTTGTAGATAACATTCCATAAAGTTATGGCAATGTATCTAAATCATATTGCTTTGAACACCTCGTAACACCTGGTAACACCTTGAAGGTGTGAGTTGCTGGCCCTATGCAAGTGCTGAAGAAGTCTGACCTTAACTGCCTGGCAGCCCCTCTTGACAATCCTTTAAATGGGAGAGTCTACCACATAAACCATATCAAATAGTTTTTAACTTCCCTAAAGTAGCCATATATTTGTTCCCTCAGACCCTAGTGCTGAGCCGGACACTTCACAAGAAGTCAGTGAGGTCGATGTACTGTTGCTTAACTCTTGATAACTAGATGGCCCCATGACCGCTCACGTCCAGCATCACTGAGGCACTGATGGCTGATATTACATCCCTACTGCATATGTATCCTGTCACATCTTTCATTGCTCCGAAAGTATGCACCCTTGTCTACCATGATGAGGATGTGGATACCACTAAATCAATAATACTGTCTCGTTACAGAACTAGTCCTGAGAAGCTGAAATTACTGCAACAAGAAACAAACTTTCTGCTTGAGTATGGGTTAGTGAAGAAATCTGAAGTCTGTGGGAGTCACCTTCACTTCCTGTGAAGAAACTAGATGGTGAAA